TGTAGCGTAACATTAAGCGAGACATGAGGCCTAGTAGAATAAAATATAGTTGCCACACTGTTCAGACATTACAATAAAGAATATTCATAGTTCTGGAAAGTACAAAAGCTATGAAACATCTGAAAGAAAAAAAATGTTCATTTGATGCTGCGTACGGAAAAATGGACCAATGCATCTAAATGTCAGCAGGCAACTTGAAGAAAGGTATCAGTACGGGATATATCCACCGTGGGGTGTGATGCAACATTCTACACGTCGTATTATACTTTGCACAGCATTATCCAGCAGCTGTTGAGGCAATTTATCCCATTCCTCTGTCAATGCACGAATGAGGGTGTTCTTGTTTGTCGGAGGATAGTTTCGACCAGCAAGTTGCCTCCCCAAAGCATCCCAAACATTTTCAATGGGGTTTAGATCTGGAGAACGTGATGGCCATACGAGGCGTTGAATACCCTCGCTGTCTAGACAATCCTGAACAGCGAGTGCTCGATGACATGGTGCGTTGTCGTCCATAAAAACAAATTTATCACAGACAGCACCATGGAAAAGACGAACATGAGGAAGTAGAACTTCATCAATGTATCGTTGGCCCGTCATAGTCCCATTCGCAACCACATGTAGACGCGTGCGGTCATTGATCATGATGCCGGCCCACACCATGACACTGCATGTCGGATATCGGTCCCTTTCCTGGATATTTTCTGGATAATAACCAGTACCACTCTCGCGTCAGATCAGTTGGCGTCTACAATCCGATGACAGACTGAACCTACTCTCATCTGAGAATAGTACGCATGCCCAGTCCTGTTCAGTCTAATTGTGATGCTCACGACGCCACTGCAAACAGGCAGTACGGTGCTGTCTGGTTAATGGGACACACACAACAGGTCTGCGGGAGTATAGTCCTCCTCCCCTCAAACGTCTGGCAACAGTTTTTCGGGAGATATGCTTTCCTGTGGTAGCAAGAAACTGATTTGCCACCTGCTGAGCTGTGGTGCGCCTGTTCCTTTTTGCTGATAGGACGATGTATCTGTCTTCTGCAGGCGTCGTACTTCTAACACGACCTCCCCCGTGCCGCCTACTACACATTCCAGTAGTTTTAAATGATTTCCCCAGCCGTGAAACAATGCTGTGAGCGATGTCGAACTCCCTGGCAACATCTGTTATTTTTCACCCTTTTTCGATCTTTCCAATAACTCAGCCACGCTTAAAATCATCTAAGTGATATCGGGAAGACATGCCGAAAATTTCAAGTTCGTCAACTAAATCTGTCCTGTAAAACTTTGATTTGAAACAACAACTCTCCACACGCGTCAAAACCTTTAAAGCTCTTATCAGCGCTATCACGTGATGAACAGACGTGGAAAAAAAAATTTGCATACGCATACCTCTTCTTACTATATTCCGCACTTATTCTAATTTTCCACATTTTGCTTCCTTTCATTTTGTGGTTGCTATGGATGATAGTGTTATCCGTCCTTAGCAATTGTCCAGC